AAACAGAGGGAGGGTCATAACTTTTTGAGACCGCAGAAAAGGGAGGGGTCATGAAAAATGGGCCGTTAAAAGGGGGAGGGTCATGAAAATATGTGTGCGTGATCATGTAAAGGTTCACCCACAGAAGAAATATGTAGTTCTTTATTTTGTAAAAAAAACCTGGGAGAAATAGGAGAGTCGAGTGATCAGCTGTCAGAATCAGTGTCGGACTCTTAATGCTGTCATCTAAAATGTATGTATATGGCATTACAAAGAAAAGATTAGAAATATATTTTGAGCTTTCATAACACTGACTCACCCTAGTGTATTGCAAGAACTAGATTTTATCATTTATACAAGAGGGAAAGGGTCATGATATTTTAGGCCAACTTTTGACCGCAAAGAAAAACACAGTACATGTACACTTCATACCCATTAAATTTTTTTTTTTACCCCACAATGTAAACTTCTGGATCCACCGGTAAATGTTCAAGCCCAACCTTGTTCCCAAAGTTCTCTCCTACCCGTCAACGGGTAGGAGAGACAACCTGGGGACGTGGTTGGTGCAAGACAATAAAGACAATAAAGTCTAACGATTTTACTACCTACATTTAGAAAAGCTATTTGAGTCTGGCAGTGTGGGGTGGCTAACTACTGTTACTTCAGTTTTATGCAAAAAAACATTTTACCACTTCCTTACGAACAGGTGTTTAAGAAGACATTTTACAAGGAAATAAGCGAGTTTTTTTGTTTAATTGGTACGCATTAAATTGTGCGCAATGATATTGTTTTCGGTACATTTTCAATAAAATGAAATTTAGAAATAGTTGATTCACGGTCGTTTGAAACACATATAGCTTTTTGCAACATGATTACTCATCGAATTGCCATGTCGTGTTGGCTGTTTTCATAAAGTTGAGGCTACAATAGATATTTTAAACATTCTGATCATTTGCTACTGATTAGACTTTGACACACGAGACAGCATAATTTGTTTAAGCAACTACCTACAGTGTCTTTGTTTAACACCCTAGCTAGTAAGTTTTTTTTTAAAATGGATAACAAGCTTCTTATCTCAACTCCTCCCTGTGACTCGTCGTAGATCGTTGTTTATCAAAAGGTCTGCCCCATATATTTAATTTGCTTGGGTCCAGTAAATACATTGGATTGGTCTTCGACCTGATAGTCAGTTTTTCCTATAAACCATCGTTAAACTCGCTCTTTTTGCATGACTGTGTATTAGCGATTCATTACAGCCAGCTACTGTTGATACTTAAATATTGCGTCAGTAGT